AAAAGATTTATGCATTTTACAGAGAAAGTATGTGTCAAAAGTTGATTGCAAAGTTTCCAGATGCTTTTGGCTCTGGTAAATCTTTGAGGTTGGTAATAATCAAATCATGGTATTATTAAAGAATAATCAAGATTCTATACTCTTCAAAATATGCAAATCAAGTATTGAAAACCATTATGATTATTATTACCATTATTATTTTTTTTTTGTTATTATTATAAATCATTATGGTTATTATTTACACTATATTTATGCTGTCTATTGTACCATAGGACAATTTTTTTATAGTGGATGGCCTAGTGGATTAAAGCATTGGTTTGTGGGGCAGGTGACAGTAAATGTGAGTTCAATCCCTGGGTTGGGGAGTGTGTACTTGGACTCAGTGGAAACTATTGAGCAATACTAAAAATAAGAACTACACACAATATCCCTAGATATGGGTAGTGGAATGAGAACAGTTGCTCCCCACAGATTAAATAAAGGGTTCAGTTCAGAATTCACTGTATGTTATTCAGATTGATGTATGCCTGCTGGAAAGTACAACGGCCAAAATATGATAGCAACTACAGATGTAAAGACAATAGTCCAAATATAAATGGTGTAAATAATTATAACTCCTCATTCCAGAAATTCAGGTGGACATTGTTATTCACTTTGTGGCTTCAACACAGGTGAAAACAACCCTTGTTGGGGAAAATTTCATTGTGTAATTTATAAGTTTAATGTACATTTTCTTTTTGAGATAATGTGTGACAAACATTAAAAAGTGGGTACTTTACATCATAGACTAGAAAATATGAGGAACCAAATAAATTGACTAACCATATGAAAGGAAATTGTGATTGAGTTGAAGTAGTCTTTGACTATGTGTTCCTTCTAACAAGTAAACAAATAAATGAGTAGTACTCTCAGGCTAATTAAAGGCAGAAATTGACAAAAATACTGTCTCTACAGTTAAGGTAAGTCACTTTGCCCATCCTCTCTAAGTAACAAGAATACACCGGCCACTCTTATTATTTTGAGGGATGGATGGGTCCTCCTAATATTGTTTTATCTTTGTGTTTAATTTTAGTTTATTTTCTGGTTTCATCCTCCCACCCCCATCATTTAATAAATCATGGAATTTTATTACAAACGAACTTTATGGACAATGTAATGAATTTAAATTTTTACATCATGGGATGTTTTGTAGGTCTCCTGTGAATATGCTGGATTGTGGTGATGGATGAGTCATGATTGTGATTAACTAGGACTAGGATAGCTAATGAAGACCAGCCTCTCCCCATTTCCCCTTTGGCCTTGTGCCACAATTTTGTATTTCTTCATGAAATAAATATATCTCTCTAAGTAACAAGTTTTGGGTTGCAGGTTACCAGCAGAAGGGAAGAATCTCTAATCTGGACACTTCTCCATTAACCATTGTGACATACCAGTGATAAGACCCTAGTGAAGTCATCTTGTGGTGGGATAGGACAATACGGGGAGAAATGGATTCATGCCTTTCCTAAGTATTAAAATGAATTGAACGCACTTATCTGGAATTTGGTTTTTCTACTAATAATTGTCAACTACTTTGCATCTCCACAAATACATAAAAAATATTTCTATAATTAGCCTTAGTGTGGCATAAGGCCAAAAGTGTTGGGTACACTGTGTAAATCAAATTCACTACACAGCAGTAATGTTCTGTGTAACTAACTTGTGATTTTTTAATAGAATACAAATCTCCCTATCTGTCCCAAATTCCAGTTTTGATTCTGTCAAGGCTAACAATTGGGGGAAAAAGCTTTTTGTTGCTAATGTCTGTTTGGGTAAAAGTAATTAGAAAATTAATTTCCTAAATGTTCACTCATCTAGTGTCTTTGTAAACTATTGTGGCATGCCAGAGACTTTTTTTATCAAGATATCTGGTGATAAAACAAGGATCAGGGAAAAGTGGATTCATGCTTTTCTCAGGAAATTTAGTGTAAAGTAAACTTGGTTTTGTGCTGCTAACTTGTAGGCCACTTTGCACTTTTCCATCTTAGAATATTACACTGATAAGAATTCCTTGCTGGTTAAAAATCAGTTGTAACCTTTGGTCATAGATCTTCTTTTATCACTTCCCTCTTTTTTGACCTCTGTCATTTAAGGTCATATCTGCCCATTCCAAACTGACTTTCATTTTACTAAAAGCAAAGTAATGACTAAGGTTTACTGAATTTAGCTTAATATGGTACAAATATAAAATGAAAATAAAAATCTTCCAAGAAATACTGTTTTTTTTTTGTTTTTTTTTTGTTGTGAGGTTGGATGGGGGATTGAAACCTGTAACCAATAACAAATATGTAACTCTCAACCAACAAGCAGATCGTGGGATGTTTCAGTATGTTATTTATGAAACTTAACTTATATATTCCAGCTGAGGTAATTTCTGTTGACACTGACACATTTATTGGAAAGGAGGCAGGGAATGAATGACAAAAAAGAAGATTGTATTGTTCCAGGCTTCCAAGTGGGGATGAATTGGCATTCTAAGTCCTGGATTTGAGCACTGACTGCTGGTTCCAATGAGAAATATATAATTACTTCTGCTATGAGACAGACCCAAAGTCAAAGCCAGAAAGAAAAAATTAAAAAGAATGAGAGAAAAATCATGAGTAAGGAAAGAGGACAATAAAAGAATGGCATGATTGACATTGCATTTAAGTTTTTCAAGGTCAAAGTTGACCGAAAAACAAAAATCAGGAAAGAGTTTCACAAGTGAAAATTGCATGAGAAGAAACTTAGCATAGGATTTATGGTTATATTTAGAAATTTCACTTGTAAAATGGTGAGATTGAGCTGCCAATTTAGTACTGCACTTAAATTTGTAAAGTTGAGGTACCAAAATGGAAAGCTCATTAGAACAGTTACCATGAAAATATTTATAGAAGAGACACACGGAAGCTATGCTATAGTGTTGGGAAAGTGACTGAAGCCAAGATGTCAGGTCAGGACCAATAACATTGCAGATACGTTCTTTCTTGCTCCAACAGACATGAGGCATGTAAGTACTTCTGAAACACAGACTGAAGATTATGCAAACTTTTCAGAACTTTGACTTTGTTTCTTATATTACTTCTGCCTTCTACAACATGTTCTGCTTAGTAGATTTGCTAATTGTTGTTTCTTTGAATTCCATGTTTTGTGACTTTTTTTCTTCTCTCCCAAACTCACATGAGTCTGCCAAATATTGTTTGTGAGACAAATGTACCAGAAGGTATAAAATAAATAACTCACATTCTTGCAACATGTTCCATCAGGATAATATGAGATCACATGGTAACCAGATAAAAAATAGTTACAGCATGGTTGGCAAGTTTCAACTTATTTGCTATTATTCAGTAGATATTATACCTTTTTTTTTCTTTTCTTTTTTTACTATGGTAATACAGAACTCTCTTTTAAAAATTCAGTTCCCTGCAATATTTGAAAATATTCCTACAGCATTTCTTTGCTAAGAAAGATGAAAATTTCTGTGTGGACATAATTAAGCAATTGTCTGTAAGATAACAGAAGATAGAACAAATTGACAACTACCTTGTCCAATAAAGTCAGTGACAGAAATAAAATTGTTTTATTTTTACCTAATAAACTGAATGAATGCACCTTTCGGTCACCCAATGCAACATGATGATAAAGTGAAAAAGAAATACATTTTCTATGCAGATGACAATTTGTGTATCAAATCCAGTTAGAATGATTGCTCATTTTCCTATTGTGCATTTTACCTTGGCTGCATTCCCTTCTAAATTTATTTCAGATACTGGTTATCAACATATAATGCCAACAGAGTATCATTTCTTAATATTTTATCCAAAGCTAATGAAACTCACTTTCATAGACTTTCTAGAGAAAATTTTCCTTTTCATAAACTTATCAAGTCTAACTGAATAATGAACCACTAACAATCTTGTCTCTGTTTAAGTTTTCTAACTAGAGAGCTATCACTTCATACATTGTAAAAGTCTTACTTTGTTTTTGCAGACAATATTTTAAATAGATTTTATTACTATTTAATAGTGATGGTCATAAAATGTATGTTAAAAACTTGAGTTTTATTAAGAAAGTAATAAATAACCTTTGTGGAAACTTATTTTTCTTTTATTTATTTCCTCATTTCAGATAAATCATTGAAATAGATACTTTGTCAGAAATAAACTGAGTGAAAATTGAGATTTAGCTAACATGTCTCTCCCACAATACAATTGGGAACATTAGATTACTCAGATGCCTTCTCTAAAATCCAAACCATGAAGAAGTTCATTAACTGGAACTATCCTACAGAAAACACTTGAAAAATTTAACTCTATTAATAAAAACCTACATATTATGGAATGCCAAGTTTAAGTGGGATAACGGACACTGAGTACATGTCAAAAATGAATAACAATGATTATCTCCCTTATCAACTTGAGTTCAACAGCTGTGAAAAACTAATATCATTAATTTTACCATTTTAACTTTTCTTTTTGTTCAGCTAGAGACTTTTGTATTTAATAACATAATTGTTTCAGTGCAATATTTTTAGGAATGCTTTTTGTTTTATTTCAAATAATTTTTTTTTTACGAGACAAGAAAATGTTATCTTTGTATAGTAGTTATCTCCCCCTAATGAGTCATTATCCGCTAGGGGGAGCTACACATAAACACAGAAACCACAAAAACATCGTGATATATGTTGGGGTATTTTAGTCCCCATATTATTATTAACCGCTTAGATGTTATTTAATCTTTATCCTGCGTTAAAGTGACACAGATTTGTTTACACGGACACATAAAAACAGATCGGAGAACATTATTTGTGGTTTTGTATCATTAGAAAAAAAAAAGGCCATCTAATTTTCGTTATGCTACTGGAGTGGTGTCGACTAATTATCAACTGGGGTCAAGACACGATCAGATGGAAATACCTTCAGCTGAAATATACTATTTCAAAAATTCTTATTTCGGTCAGTATTTTCATTGCTCTTCTATGGATGTCTCTGTTCATTTACGGCAGTTTTTATTATCTGTATATGCCGAGCGTGTCCCATCAATGGAACTGCAACTTTCTCTTCGATGTTTGTGAGAACGGAGTCGGTGTTTGTTCATTTCCGACGGCGCACGTGGATTTGACAGATGATGACGAGAACCTGGTCCTTACTCCGGGACAGGCCTACAAGATCTTGCTTGATCTGGAATTGCCAGAATCGGCTGAAAACAGGGCCACGGGGATGTTCGTCATTTCGGCCAATTTCTACAACTCGAGTGGAGATAGTGTTAGAACATCGTCCAAGACATCCATGCTACGTTATCGTTCCAGCCTTTTGCGAAGTCTGACCACTTTAGCTTACTCTCCATTCCTGGTAACGGGTGCTCACGAACAGAAACAGCTTCTACATATCGAGATGTTCTCTAAATATATGGAGAATTCATACAACCCGGCCTTTCGTGCTGTTCTACAGATGCGGACCCAAAGTTTACAGTTATATTCTGCCACGCTCAAAATCTACGCCCATTTCACTGGTTTACGTTATTTAATGTTTCATTGGCCGGCTACGTGTGCCGTGTTAGGCACAGGTATCATACTTTCTTCTCTTATGTTTGTTGCAATGTTGTCCTGGTATAATTATTTCCATAGTGGTCATGTTGTTGTTCAGCCCAGTAGTCACCGACTACTGCTGGAAGAGAGACGGCGACAAATACAAGCTCGTCTTCTCCGAGAAGGCCACTCAGCCGAGGAGGTCGTATCAGCTACGACGGGGACCGAAATCCTAATCGATCCGCCACAACTGACCGAGAACTCGTCCGGTGGAGTCGATAATGAGTCGCAAGGAGCAGTTGTTACGGAGTCGTTAGGATCTGCAGGTTCAGCTCGTCCGATCATCTCAACAATGTCTATTCACAGTGTTGGGTCGACAAACCAAGAACATCCACTCGTCAGTCCCATCTATGATGAAAGCCCTGAGCATTTGGAATTGATGAGCACAGAGGATGATTCTTCTTCGATTATGTCGTCTAATATTACTTTACTGTCTTCTGATGATATCGACTTAGAACTGAGACATCGACACATTTCAGCACATCAAAGCTGATTTTTTTTCTTAATTATTTAAAAGCAACAAGATTGGATTGCTTGGCAAATATTTTAATTTTATCTTTTTTTTTTTTAAAAAAAAAAAAAAAGCTTAACTCTTGTGTGCTTTTTACAAATCACTGCTTCTTTTATTCAAAGTTGAAACAAGCAAAAAAAGAAAAGAAAAAAAGCTTAGTTACGACGAATGTAATTTTTTATTCTTAACAAGTGCGTGCAATAGCTTGGTAAAAAAAAAAATGTATGTCTTTTTTTTTTTTTTTTTTTTTAAAAAAAAAAAACTTTTTCTTTTAAATATTTATTTAAATTCTTTTTTGTGTGTATGTGCAGAATACGTCTGCCTGCTTTGCAATGTCAAAATCCCGGTCTGTCAACCAACAGCACAATATTTATTTATGAAAGAAACGTAAAAAACTAAATTAACCTGAAATTAATCAGTTAAATTGACTCTTTGTTGTCATGCTATTTTGAGGTTACCCATTGCATAAAGTAAAATTACCTACTGGGACCAAATTTGTTTAGGACTTTCGGTTGCTAAGTAAATTGTGACTGGGGATCCATCATATCCTTTTTTTTTTCTTCTTTTTTTTATTACGATTACCACTCCCCCCTCCTCACCAAAAAAAAAAGAAAAGATTTTTGTGACTTTTTCTATGTACCGTAAAATACTGATGCTTTGGAGGACATATAGTACAAGAAACCTGTTTAAGCTGGAGACTTTTTTTTTTTTTTTTTTGAAAGAATGATATCAACAACTGAACCATCAGATTCAAACATTATCTTTTGTTATCACATCAACATCTACAGTTTGATGTTGCATCAGCTCCTAAAAATGATGATACATACATACATATGCGTATTTAATTTACAACATTAAAAATTTATTTTAAATTTTAATATTTCATGGGGGAGGAATTTTTTGATGCTTTGACTTGAAGTATTTTAATATTTGGAACTTTTTTCTTTAAATTCTGCTGAAACTTTGAATGATTTTAAAATTTTATTTTTAAAAAAAGAACTTGACATTTTTCTTTTTTTTTTTTTTTTGCATTATTTTTATTTTTATTTTGTTTTCTGCTGAAACAGTTTACTTATCAACTAATGAATAAATTTATGTTCATTTTGGTTTATAAACAATTGAATAATACATTATTAAAAAAAAATTATGAGCTAATTTTGGTGTTAACTGTTGAAGGAGATATTTGATCTCAAAATCTAAATTGCTGAACAATTTTATTTTATATTTATTTTTAAAAAGAATATCCTTGTCAGTTGTTAAATTATCAGAGATACATGGGTCATCTATGTCAAGCAATGCAAGACTTGTGGGAACTTTAAAATTAGCAACCTCTTGTTAATAATGAATTATCTAGAAAGTCTCATGTAAGAACCTTTTTTTTTTTTTTTTTTTAAGTTCCAAAGCTTTTGGGGAAATTCGATGATAAAAATGAAATGGAAGTATTTATCTAGTTTAAAGGGTTTGGTATTCTATACTAAGGATGTTTGGTATTCTATACTAAGGATGCTGAAATAGACTTTTCAATAAACTGCAATTCTTTTAACTCGCTGCTCGTCTTTGGCATATCTTCCATATTTATCAATTTGTTGATGGAGAATTGAATTGAGGCAAAAAAAGAAAAAAGTAGAAGGGATTTTTGCAGTTTTTAAATATCATTGGATACCAATGTTTTGGTTCCAAGTATTTAATTGTACTGCAAAGGAGTCAAGTTTCTAAAAAATGTTATTATAAAAGAATTCCAAAAGGAATCTTATATAAGATGGTTACTGAAAAGTTCTGACTAAAAAGCTCCCTCCCTAATCTTAATATTTACTTGGATTTTGGGAAATGCACTTTTGTGTTTGAAGATATCTTTTAATTAGAATAATTTAATTATATTTTCATCATCATAATTTTCATCATTATAATTTAATTATATTTTCATCATCATCATCAGCAGAATTTCCATTCATGGATTATGAGGCCTTCTGCCCATAATTCAATTTTCTGTTCTCTTAAATTCAAAACTATAATTCATTATTTTAAAATATTTTTTTAATTTGGTCAGAGCAGTACACTTAAAATAGAACTGTTTAATTCTTTTTCTTCTTAAAGTTCATATTCATTGCCATTTTCTCTCAAAGACTTTAGAATAAATAGCAAAATTGTAATTTGTAAAATTTCTATAAAATCTTCAATACTTATAGTTGATCTTTATACTAAGTTTTTATAAGTCTGAGCAGAAAGTCAATGGAAAGCTTTTAGTTTGGGCTGCTGTGACTAAATAGTTGAATCTTTTTATGTCCTACTGTCCTTGTTTCTTTTGGAAGATTCTTAACTCCATAAAATGATGATGAGTGCTTCATCAAGAATAAAGTTTGACAATTTTTGTCAGTCTAGAAATGATTAAAATTTTGATGAACTCAAATGTTATCTTCATTATTTGTGCATGACTTACTGGATTAGCACAAAGGGAACAATTTAGAGCAATAGTAACAAAAACAAAACAATAATACTCGTAGTAAGATGTAATATTCTTATAAAATATATTGTAACAAATACAGTGTGGCCATAAATCCTTGCAGCAGTTTTAAATTTTTTATAACTTGACTAATGAAACTATAATTATTTTAATTTGAATAACTGGAATAATGAAATTATTTAGTAAAAATTAGAGAAAATTTTGTTTTAAAATTTTATTCTTGATGCAATTTTAAATTGTCCCACTTCAACATGGCTGCCATCTTTGTAATCCATCTCTCAAGTCAATTCGCAAACTCTGTAACTAAATTGCATAATTAGATACTTTGATGTCACTTGAATTACATGTCTTATTCTGATCTTTGAGTTCATCCAAAAAAGGTTTTGATGGATAATTTGACATTCTACTCCCATCTAATAAAGAAGTTTGATCTGGGGAATCTGGTGACCAAGTATTTGATTAAACTCTTCATTTCTATAGAATACCTTGTTTTTGTTTTTTGTTTTTTTTCTTAAAAAAAAAAAAAAAAAAGGAAAAAACAAATGCAGAAAAGGAAAAATTAAATTTGTATGGAGAAAATTCTAACACATCATTTTAAGAATTGAGATTTTTGTTTGTAATTTTTTATTTTTTTATTTTAAGAAAATAATTTATTAAAGTTTAAAATTGGTGCAGAACTTTATGGCCATCTGGCATGTATGATGTAATAAATGAATGCAATATTATTATTTTTAAACATCAATTTACTTTCTGTTTTTTTTTTTTTTCTAAAAGTTAATTATTCATTTTCTTCTTCTTTTGAAGCATGACTATAGCTTTGTTTACTCTTTTACAGTTTTTAGTTGTCAATTGTTGAACAAGTTAAAAATTATTTTGCTTTTTTTTTTCTATTTTTTAAAGATTAAATGAGAGTGCAAAGCCTTAAATGTATCAAATGTATAATATTTCATACAAAGAAAATGTGTTTTTTGTTGAGGTGGGGGTGGAAGGCATTTTAAATGCACACCCTGAGTTTAAATTCTAAAATCTGCCATCATCTGTCAATGGAAAATTTATCTATTGTTATGTGAAAGCTTCTGTCTTTGTGTTTAATTTAAAACTGAACTGCTTTTAACTATGAAGTATTATATTTCAATTGCTGAACAAAAGTTTTATTAAATATTGCAACTCCTGGAGTTAAATGTGTATTTTTATTTGTTTATTTTCTTTTATACAGACCTTATTTTATGGTATATAGCCATTCAAATTCATTAGGACTTAACAAAACACCAAAGAAAATTGCAAGTGTATGTGAAACTTAATAAAAGTTTTCGTCCATTAAAACTTGACTTTATTTAAATATTCATTTATTTTTCTGTTCTGAATGAATTCCTTTCAGAAATATGAAATTCTTAATATTCAAAGCAATCTTTCTCTGCTTGAAAGATTGCTACAACACAATCTTTCTCTGCTTGAAAGATTTTGGTACAACACAATCTTTTTTAACCACCGTCTTCTCTACAGTTGTCTAAATTTAGAAATGATGTATTAAGTGTGTGCAAAAGTTCCAAACACTGATTTATTTTGAAAGCTAGAAACTTTGTTTTTTATGCTTATTATAAACTACTTTTTTTAATATATAATACATTAGTTATATATTAAAAATACTAGTTATTGATAAAAACTAGCTTATATATATATATTAAAAACTAGTTATATATAAAAACTACCTTAAAAATAGTTATATAAAAAACTTATATATATATATATATAATAAAAAATTATTTTTTAATAAAAATATGCTGTAAACTTTTTATATACACCTAATATAATTAGATCTTTCTAAATTTGTGAAAGAATTTGATGTAATAATTAAAAAAATGTTGAAATGTAAATTTTTATTTTTGTATTTATTTTTCCAGCTTTTTAATATTTTTTTTTTCATTCCTATTTTGTTGGATGTACAAAAGGGTGCTGAAAAGTTATTGGCTTAATTCATTTCCCAAAATTTTACCAAATGACTAAACCTAAAAATGTTTGGAGGAATCTCTTCTTGGCCATTCTAAAAACTTTTTGGCACCTCTTTGCATGCTTCTACACACAAAAATACACATGATTAAATACTCTCCAAGAGAATTTAGAAATATATAAATAATATTATGAATACAAGTTTACACATGACATTAAAAAAATGACAAATATTTAAGCAATATTGTAAATGCATTATTGTAGTTCTAAATTATCAAACTTTATGTTGCTCTGCATTTTCTTCTTTATGTTTGGTATTTTTTCAATATTAAACAAACAATATTTCAATCACAATTAAATAATTATGATGACTAGATCACTTGTCATATAGGAATAAAATGTCTCTGCCAACACTTGAGTTTGCACATAGATTTCCAGTGAGCAAATACAGGCGATCCCATTATTGAATTAAGTAGACCATGTGACCATAGAGGAAATGCATGCATGTGGGAAGTAGCTGACGACTAACAATCATTATTTCTAGTCTATCCTCTATTACTATTCGGACCGCTAT